GATGTGGTACACAAAATCCTATCATAAAACTAGTGTTGATTTTATGTTTATTTATTTTTTTGCACTCATGAAAACTAAAATACAAGTGAATAAGAATAATGTAAGTAAAATGGACAAATAAAAAAGTGATGAAAATGTTCTGGAGAGACAAGATTTAATATAAACTTCATGTCAAAAAGAATCAGACCCCTTAAGCCTGTGGAGCAACTTTTAAAAGTAAAATTATGGCAGACCTTTACATTAGTCAACAGCAGACTAAAACTAAAATAATTGCGATGCCTAAAGGCTTATGCCTTTTATGACTAAAGCTAAGTGATGTTTTTGTGAAAAGATTACAACAAAAACTGTCCAAATTAACACTTGCACAAATAGAATTTTGAAAAAATATTAGTAGATATATAAGTATTTTTTTTATGTCAAATATATGTAATCGTCACCAAATCAATAATGCTAATGAGCTATCACAACTGAACAATGCTGCCTGACCTCAAAATTTCAAGATGGCATTCTGACTTCTCCAGTTCAGCTAACAGTCGTTTCATTCCAGCATCTTGCAGAGAGTTAAAACTCAAATCCAGCTCCTTCAAATAGGATGAGTTGGATTTTAGAGCCAATGCCAGAATCACACAGGAACTCTCTGACAGTTTGCATTTCTGAAGTCTGTAGATAAAGGACAAATATAAAATGAAAAGATGTGCAGGAACAAGACATTATTGCACATTTGAAGCCATTACATTAAAATACAAAAACATATACAGCATTCACCATGAAAGAACTGCTATACTAACTTCAGACTCTCCAGTCTACAATGTGGACTCTTTAGTCCAGCAGATAGCAGCTTCAAGCCGAAATCTTGCAAATAATTCTCACTTAAGTCCAGTTCTCTTAGGTGGGAGGGGTTTGACTTCAAAGCTGAGGCCAACAATTCATAGTGAATCCCTGAGAGTCCACAGCCAGAAAGTCTGCAGTAAAAAGTTTATATTAAATGTAGTTAGTAACAAGGAGAGCAGCAACTGAACAAAGAAAATGCAGATTAGAGAAAACTCAATAAATTACTTTGCAAAATAAAACAATCCATCTGAAATGCAGCCCAAACCATGAAAGAACCTCCACTGTGTTTTTCAGATGGCTGTATATTTGCATCGTTGGACCTCTGTCCTGGTTTCTGTACATCCTGACGATGTACAGAAACATCGTCAGGATGTACAATGCACATATTAGAGTGATGGATCTAAATATCAAATTTAGATCCATCACTCAGACATGTCTCCATTGATTTTCAGTGAAGTTCTTGTGTAATTCAACATACTATAGCCTTTTTTCCAAGTTTTATGACTTAATAGCTTCTTGATAGTCACTCTTCCACCCAGACCATTTCTGATGAGGCTTCATTGAACAGTAGATGGATTCTGGACTGTGGTATGAACCTACCTCTGCTGGAGGTTTCATCCTGTAAAAAGGAATTTTTCCTTCCTATTGATAACACTCTGCCAAATCAAACATGCAAAGTTACTCTTGTTTAGCAGAAAGTCACTCAAATGATCCACAGGTCATACGTCTGTGAAGGTTCAGTCATCCAGGTCATTGCAATGTTATAAGTGGCGGTGGTTTACGACACCAACTGTCTGCCATCTATAATCCAGTTTTGAGTTGCCTCCCTAGACGCCTTAACGCCTACTCACATCCTGGGCCATCTAACCTCAGGAAATCGCATGATAAGGTGGGGCCAGGTTTCACAATGAGCTCACCTGAAACCCTGGCTGATTGGGACCCACACCCA